AAAAAAACTGGATTTAAAATGAAGACAGTCCATATAGAATGACCAAGGATAAAGAAAAACCTGAAATCTTGGAACTACAAAAAAGGTTAATTTATCAGTGAATTTATATTAGATCTATTTTGTAGTGTAGAAGATAAGTTATACATAAACTTAAATCTTTTTAACTGTGTTTAAAAATATCAAACTCTCACCCATTGCCAAGCATAACATACCTTTCCAGTACTAAAAAAACAGTTAAAAATTTATACTGATAAATATATTTTGTTACAAATTATCTGATACTAATGTATAGTATGTTTGTTTCCGGTGGGGTACTTGATGGAACGAGGAGAGCAAAGAAGAAATTAACGTACGGTAAGTACGCCTTCTGTCCCTTTGCTTTAGAAAACAGTAGATATTCTTTAGTATAGTAAGGTATTTTTCCCTCTTTCCGTCCTTTACACTGCAGTGAATTAAATCCAGTCTAAATCTTTCTTTGAGAAGATGAAATGCATAAAATGAATGTTGGATAATACTTAAGTATATCTATTTAAAGCTTTTGACCAGAAAAAATATTGTTTAAATTGACAAAATGTATTGGAATCATTACATCATCTTTAAAGTTTTTTAATCTTTGGTTATAACTGATATTAATGGATGGTATGATTGTTTCCGGTGGGGTGCGGGTTTGAATGAGATCACAGCAGATATTAAAAAATGGTAGTACGCCCTCTGTCCCTTTCTTTTAGAGTACAGTAGAGGTTCTTAGCGTTATATGCATGTATTAAACAAACATTCATGCGCAATATTGGATTAGGAATCAAAATGCGGCAAGTGGGTGAGAGTCCTATGGACTCTGTCACTCAAAATTGTTGTTGTACAGGTAGATGTCGCTGAACCATCAAAGAAGAAACAAGGAGATGACCAGAGCAATACTCTTCTCTACTACGAGTCATCTAGAATTTCAAATTACAGTACAACTTTAGTTTAGGCCCACCATTAAAATTTATTGAAAAATATCATAAAAAATTATACTATTTTACTTGCAAAGATTATACACAATCACTTACTCACTGCCGCACCAACAACTAAAGAAAAGAATAAAAAAAAATAAAACTACAAAAATTAACTAGAGTAGGAAAGATATTTTTTACATTAGGCATTACAAACAAGTGTGCGTTCTGAAATACTTAACCATTAAACATTACAACAAAAAGTTTCCGGTAGTTTGTTATCAATTAATTTTTTTTAAACGTTTTTTTAGTAAAACAAAACTTTTGCATTTAAAATTCTTTATTAAATTATTAACATTTATGCAGTGGCGTGTGTTTAGGGTTCTGCCCAGATTTTCTGCATATCACTTATACTGTGAGTTCCCTATAGAGTGCTTTTATAAAAACGCCAAAAATACATCCTCAAAACTCCCTCACACAATAGGAATGTTAGGCTCCCAATTTTTAGAGTAGGTACATAAGAAGTGAGGCAATTTTTCTTCTAGGGTCCTTTGACTCCGACTTTAAGTCGTGATAAGCATACAGGGATTCCCCCATCGGCTTACAAGAAAGAAAGGAAGAATGAAATACTGATAATCTGATCTGTTCCTCTTTTTATGACAAGAATACATGGATTTTCCTCAACCAATTGAAAAGGATACCAAAGTGGAACAAGGAATAGTTAGGAAGTCAGTTCATCAAGAAATAATCATACAAGTGGACGTCTCTGATGTAAAAATACACAGCAAAAGCAAGATTAAAAACTCTTAGCTATTAAAATTGAAAAAAAACTGGATTTAAAATGAAGACAGTCCATATAGAATGACCAAGGATAAATAAAAACCTGAAATCTTGGAACTACAAAAAAGGTTAATTTATCAGTGAATTTATATTAGATCTATTTTGTAGTGTAGAAGATAAGTTATACATAAACTTAAATCTTTTTAACTTTGTTTAAAAATATCAAACTCTCACCCATTGCCAAGCATAACATACCTTTCCAGTACTAAAAAAACAGTTAAAAATTTATACTGATAAATATATTTTGTTACAAATTATCTGATACTAATGTATAGTATGTTTGTTTCCGGTGGGGTACTTGATGGAACGAGGAGAGCAAAGTAGAAATTAACGTACGGTAAGTACGCCCTCTGTCCCTTTGCTTTAGAAAACAGTAGATATTCTTTAGTATAATAAGGTATTTTTCCCCCTTTCTTTCCTAAACACTGCAGTGAAATAAATCCAGTTTAAGTCTTCCTATGAGAAGATGAAATGCATAAAATGGATGTAAGATCATAGTTTAATATATCTATTTTAAGCTTTTGACCAGAAAAGGTATTTTTGTAATTGACAAAATGTATTGAAATCATTACATCATTTTTAAAGTTTTTTAATCTTTGGTTCGAACTTATACTAATGGATGGTATGATTGTTTCCGGTGGGGTGCGGGTTTGAATGAGATCACAGCAGATATTAAAAAATGGTAGTACGCCCTCTGTCCCTTTCTTTTAGAGTACAGTAGAGGTTCTTAGCGTTATATGCATGTATTAAACAAACATTCATGCGCAATATTGGATTAGGAATCAAAATGCGGCAAGTGGGTGAGAGTCCTATGGACTCTGTCACTCAAAATTGTTGTTGTACAGGTAAATGTCGCTGAACCATCAAAGAAAAACAAGGAGATGACCAGAGCAATACTCTTCTCTTCTACGATTCATCTAGAATTTCAAATTATGACCATAGTATAGGCCCACCATAAGTTTTCAATGAAAAATATCATTTTAAAATTATAATATTTTACTTGAAAACACACTCACTTACTCACTCCCATGGCCATTTATGCCCAAGGCGGGATTTGGCTGCACCAACAACTAAAGAATAGAATATAAACAAATAAAACTACAAAAATTAAATAACAAAGATATTTTTTACATTAGGCTTTATAAACAAGTGTGCCTTCTGAAATACTAAACCATAAAACATTACAACAAACAGTTTCGAGTAGTTTGTTATCAATTTATATTTTTAAAACGTTTTTTTAGTAAAACAAAACTTTTGCATTTAAAATTCATTATTAAATTATTAACATTTATGCAGTGGTGTGTGTCTAGGGTTCTGCCCAGATTATCTGCATATCGCTTATACTGTGAGTTCCCTATAGAGTGCTTTTATAAAAACACCAAAAATACATGCTCAAAACTCCCTCACACAATATGAGGCTCCCAATTTTTAGAGTAGGTACATAAGAAGTGCGGTAATTTCTCTTCTAGGGTCCTTTGACTCCGACTTTAAGTCGTGATAAGCATACAGGGAATCCCCCATCGGCTTAGAAGAAAGAAAGGATGAATGAAATACTGAAAATCTGATCTGTTCCTATTTTTACGACAAGAATACATGGATTTTCCTCAACCATATGAAAAGTATACCAAAGAGGAACAAGATATAGTAAGGAAGACAATTCATCAAGAAGTAATCTTGCAAGTGGACTCCTCTGATGTAAAAATACACAGCAAAGGCAAGATTAAAAACTCAAAGCTATTAAAATTGAACAAATAAACTGGATTTAAAATGAAGACAATCCATATAGAGTGACCAAGGATAAAGAAAAACCTGAAATCTTGGAACTACAAAAAAGGTTAATTTATCAGTGAATTTATATTAGATCTATTTTGTAGTGTAGAAGATAAGTTAGTCATAAACTTAAATCATAAAGCATGATCGGACTATGGGAATGGGGTTTTACGGGGGGTTTTATGGGTTAAAAATAGGTTTTGACACAAAAAACATAAAATTTAGCAATTTCTTTCCAAACCATTTTGTAGAGCTTAAAAAAACAAATAATTTGTATATTGAAGTGTTATTATGCGCCTAATGGTTACGGAGAAAATTCCAAAAAAATGTAAATTTTAAATTCCCCGTGCCGCAGCAGACCTGCATACTTAGTGAGTTTCCATTCGCCTGATTGGATTTACACTAAAATTTCTCCTTAAAAATATTACATTTGTTCCCTATCTTAACAGAATTAGTCTAACGAGTACTTAGGTTTGCTGCAACAGGGAGGGTAAAAAAGGTTTTTTTAAATGTAAAATGTTATTTTATCAAAATATGTTCATAATCAAGCAAACTATAACATTTGACGTATTCTCCATAAGAATAATATGGGAATTTTAAAATTACAATTTTTTTGAATTTTATGCGTAACAATTAGACGCATTATATAACGCTTCAATATACTAAATTATTTGTTTTTTTAAGCTCTACAAAATAGTTTGAAAAGAAATTGTGAAATTTTGCGATTTTAGGGTCAAAAATGGGAAAAACCTATTTTTACCCCATAAAAACCAGTTCCCATAGTCCGATCATGCTGGTCAACCTATTTTCACCCCATAAAACCCCCCATAAACCCCCGTTCCCATAGTCCGATCATGCTGGTTTGCGAACTCATTCAAGTTTATCCCGCCTTACACCTTCAAACCAAATTTTATCAAAATCGGACAAAAATTACTCAAGTTATCGTACGGATGGACACACATATATGTAAAAATTTGAACGAATGGTGTTTTCCTCTGTGTACATCAAAATGAAAAAGTAAATCGGTCCCCGGCCTAGGTCTTACCATGAGACCTAGGGTAATAGCTACTTCCCTATAGGGAAATTTGCTAAAAGTAAGAATATTTTACTGTCACAAAGAGAATTTTCAATCAAGGAAGGTTTAAATTGGAAAGAGAGATGTAGTCGGATTCTACAGTGTCGTGGAAGTCTATAAAAAGTAACATTGAAATATTCTAATATGTATAGTTTTTATGTTTCTTCTGTTACAAAGCTCACTCTCCCATCCAGATAATTCCTAACCAAAATGCTTAAATGTAACATTTATTTTAATTTTTATCAAATAAAATAAGCTACTACATCGTAACAAAACAAATCATACAAAGAACATTAAAAACACAACTACAAAAAAGCGACACTTGACGAACAAACAGCAGCAGGGAGAACAAACACGACTGAACATGTAGCAGCCAACTTTACCTCTTCTATTTCTTCATGTGGCTCAATATCAGCAGTAACAGGGACATCTGAACACTCTTGTGGTGGAGTTTGTACTATTGGTGTTGCCAAAGGATCAATTTTATCATCCTTTCCATGACAGCATGTAAAGAACATTCTTTGTCAATCACAATTTACTAAACCTAATAATAATTTAATACTTGACAGAAAACCTTTTGGGAATTTGAATACCCTTTTGAATATATTTTAGACTTTGAGAGGCATTCAGACAGACAAAATTTAATGTGATTCAAAAAAGTTTAATAGTTAATGTTGGGCGTTTCAAAAGAAAAACAATTTTGACCGGGAAGGACTGAATGAAATAAATCCTCCAAAGAAATTGGATGAAACAAAGATACAAGTGATTTTGGTTTTCATATTCTACTTTATTTCATGAAACTCAAATTTATGATACAATGGTAGAAAACTCGCTAAAAGCCACAATAATGTAGACTTTTATTCCTTGGAAGAATATGTCAGTGTGTGTGACAGATAAGACTTTGTAGGACTTGTACTTTTTTAGGATTAAGCATTATGATTTTGATCCAATGTAATGACGCCATTCGTGCACATGTTTGCAAATTATAAATTAAGTTAATTTCATTTCATTTCATTTCAGACTAATCAAAAACGATGCAGTGGGCCAGGTTGACAAGTCCAAAGGGCCGTACTTTGCCCATCACTAGTGAATGCCTTCATGGTTTTATCCAATATATTTAGCTAGTTAGCAGATAGTTTTTAGTTTATAGTAAGCAGACCACTGAAATTTAAAAGAAACTGTGTCATTTTAGCACTTATAAAAAAAAAACACACCCAACAGCAGTATTTAGTAGCTGTTTTCCAGACTGAAGGGTCATATTGAATAAACATACTTCTCAATTTACTTAATCAATCTTTTCTGTTCAACTGTAAAAAGTGTAATTTATATTTTAAGTTAACAAAACCTAAAATTGTTTAGGTTATTATTAGGTGTTTGTGGTAATTATTACCTTTGGCTCACTTGGTGTTTGCACTATTGGTGTTAAAGGGTTTGTTTTTGCATCCTGAATCCATGATAGCATGTAAAACAAACAAAAACTATTAACACTTCTTATCCTTGAAATTACGTAAAAAAATAATTTTGACATCAGCACACCCTGTGCGCGGCTTATTTTAACCAATTACTTTATTTTAAAATTAAAATGGCTTATAGTTTAGATGACTTCTTTAGTAAGTGAAGTTAAAACCGGGGTTCCCCGAGGCTCCGTCCTTGGTCCCCTGCTCTCTTTTATTTCTGTTAATAATGATTTGCTACTTAGTATTGAGGATTCTCAAACCACTATGTTTGCCGATGACACAACATTCTTAACTGTTCACACTGATTTGGATAGGTAAAGTTACCTGTAGATCAGACAATGAAACATGCCAGTGATTGGTTAAGTGCAAAAAATCTCCTTCTTAATGTTGGTAAGACACAACACCTAGTTTATCATACAAAAACAAAGATTTAGGCTCAGGTATAGTTTGTAAAGAGGTTAGGACTGTACAAATCCGGGGCATATTGATTGACACCAGTCTTTCCTGGTCAGCTCATATTGACTTTGTCTGTTTAAAATTGTAAAGAGTTATTTATTTAGTGAATAGGTTAATAATTGTTGTTTCTGACAAAAATATATCCGTGTAGCCTATTTTACATTCTTTCAGTCAGTCAAGAGAGTTGCCTGAATCTGTCTTTAAAGATAGGCTATATAACTGGCTGGTAGAACATCCTTTTTATGATATTTAAGAGTATTGTGGTGTAAAAGTTGTTATGTTTTGATGTTTTAATTATTTTAGTATATTACACATGGCTTAAAGGCTACTTTTTATACTTGTTCACCTATACAACTATACTAGGATACTTTTTTATACTCATTGCCCTGACCTCTTGTGCCTGTCGCCTCAGTCTTGCCTCCTCAACAGCGTCCTTCTTGCTAGTGAGTGTCTTGTCACGTATGCTGGTCCTGCGTACAGACTGAGTTCGGGTGTTGTTGCTCTGAGTTCGCTTTACTCTGCGTCGCGCCTCCTGTTGCCGCTTGCTCTCCTGTTCTGTACGCAGTTCTGTGATCCGCTCACGCAGCTCGGGGTCCTCACAGATATCTGTGGACAGACTTGTAGTTTATGAAATGCTCAATATAGAGTTGAAATTTTGCTTTCATTCAAAACATTCTGTGATGGCCTAAAATTGTCTCGATTTTGTTTAGTTCTAATTTCAAATCTATTAAGAAGTAAATAATTTTTTTTTTTATAATTAATTATGACAAACTCCACTTACCTGCAGGTGTTTCGTCATGCTTTGTCCTGGCATTGAGATCTGCTCCATTGTGCACCAGCAGTTCTACCACCTCCAACTGGAAATAATTTAAGCAAATGAAAAAACTACAAACTCCTAAAATGTTAATCCTGAATATTGTCTGGCCTCTATCTTCAGTATCCAATAGTCAATGCTTCTACATAGTCAGTAACTTAAGTCACTGGAAGACCTTGTGATTACATGATATTCAAGTCAGCCGAGTGGTAAGACATCAAAATTAATAGGCAAGCCAAGTAAAGGACGAGTTTACGGTGAGTGTGGTGAAACTTTTGCCAATGATTCAGACAACTCAATAAATCTGTATGGGGGAGGATAGAGAAGAGTGGAGGCGGCTAGCTAATCTACGAGGCAAAAAATCAACTGAGATTTGTGACACCCCATCAGTAGTAGTAGTAATAAATCAGAAAAATGTTTCTAATCATTCTGACTTTCACAGTTTGTTGGCATAAAATAGAAACAGCCTTACATCATTGACATTTCGAAGCTGAACAAGACACTATATCAAGATGAATGGGCTGAAGCAAGTTTTTTCTTTCAATAGAAGAAGATGAATGAGCTACTCACATAGAGTTTGCTTCTGTAAAAACTGGATTTTCTCTTTTTTGGAATTTGATGTGCCATGAAAGATGCAATAGTTAACAAGAAGCAGTTCTTTTGATTAGACTCAGTTAAAAGTTAAAAGGTTTCAGGATATAACAGAAATAAATAATAAAATAATAGATCTCAGAGCACTCTGGGGATAGCTCAATACAACTACATTCATTATATTATCAGGCTTTTTACAGCTTTCATATGGGAATGAAATGTCTACTTTTATTGATGGTTAAAAACACTAATTCAGTAAAAATAGTACAGTTTTATTTTGATGAAGACATCCAAGACATCTAAAAGGAGATAAAATTGTGAGGTATACCCTAACCATGTAGTAAATAACCATGTTTCAGTTATTATATTATTTGTGATACCACTGGTTTACATTACATCGCAAAGTGAAGACGATGAGACACCTTAATAAAAGATCAACCAATTTTAATAATTGTGTTGTTGTCAAGAAGCAGAAAATAAATTCCCTACCTCCAAAACAACTAAAACCATTTCTTAGGGACTTACCAGTCTATCAATTACCAAAAGAGATACTAACCACTCAGCTACCCAGTGTAGTGTAAAGTACTCACATGTCCCCAACAAGCTGCTGCATGTACAGGCTGCCAGTCGTCATTATCTTTGACATCTGTACTGACGTGTTGGTCCAGCAGAAACTCTACCACTCTTAGGTAGCCGTTGGCAGCAGCTATGTGAAGCTGCAATAGAACAGATTGATAATCAGAAATAAATCCTTTAAAGTATAAAAAATGTTGCAATCTTAACTGTTTGTTTAAATTTAAAACATACTTAGATACTTAAGCATTTAAAATCCATAAAATGTTCAGTAATTAAGCTACATTAATTTTTGTTATGGTGTTCCATCATCGTATGATCTTCAAATACAAATAGTCTTAAAATTTTCAAGTTTTTTGTGGATTTACAGTCAGGAAAAGCAAACAAGTAGCAAAACTGCAAAGCACCTCATAAGAATTCATCGAAACCAACTTCCAAAAGAGACACTGATCGTATATTTCATGGTGCCTTCCTTCAACCTCTGCCAAGGACAGGTTAACCAATCATAAGTTAAACACCATGGCCGAGGGTTGATATTGGATTAAAATCCTCAACCAACGTCTTTTGGCTTGAGAGACAACGCTTTAGACTACCCACCGATTTATCAGACCTGTCTACCTCAACAACAACTTAATCAAATCAAATCAAATCATCTTTATTCCATAGACACAAATTGTATATTGCAAAGTACAATAGTGTATGTATGTAAGGCCCCGGTGACTTTGACTCCTAGGTTGCAGAACCTATGTCTGGTTATAGCTTTAGCCATAGCAACTGCTTTTACGTGGGAATGAAATTCTTAGTTTTATCCATAGTCGAATAGTCAATATAAAGATGATTACTATAATAACCTCATTATAAACATACTCACCGGTGTTGCACCGTGATCATCATGCAGCTCTAGATCGGCTCCCGCCGCCGCCGCCTGCGTCAGGTCTGCCAACATCTGTGTCTCGGTGAGCGCTCGAGTCTCGTCAATCAGCTGTTGAGTCACTCCGCGCCTCGCCATCTCACTCTCTATGTGCTCGAGCGCAGCCTCATCTTCGCAAATATCATAGGCCATATTCCCATCTGCGTTGACAGCTAACAGGTCTGCTCCACTAGAAAAATATAAAATCCATACCTAATGTTAAAAATACCTCAGCTATTTGTTTGTTATTCTTTCAATGTATTACCTTATTAAAATCAGGTGCGATTATTTGTAAAAAAAAAATTATGACAGATTGACACATACATGATGAGTGCAGATTTCACTTGTCAGGGAGCTAGTCAGAAACTCAAGATTCCATTTAATAAAGTTTAGTTGTGACTGATAACAAGCTTAACCCTCCGAGTGTCCATAGTTTAGGCCTTAATGTCCACCTATTTTTGGCCCCTTTGCAAGGTTTTATTAAAACGGATCTGAGAAGCTTAAAACAATGTTAATTCTAATGTTCTATATACCATTTTGTTTGGAAAATCATGGGCTTCAATATTATATATAAAACATAAGGAACATTTAAAAAAAAAAAAAATTTTTAGGTAAAAAAAAATATAATTTCGAAAATTTTCAAAAAAAAAATAAGTTCGCGCTCAATGAAATTGTATAAATTATAGGCCTATCAATATTTGAAAATAGCCACTTTGTTCTAAATTTAATGAGGATTACAAATATATAATCATATAGCGAGGTAAGTTATCAAATAAATAAGTTATGAGCGAAAAACGGATTTCAGTACATAGCGTTTAGCTAAGAATGCATAGCCTAACCATAGCTAGGAATCTGGCAGATAATTTACATCAATATCACTACCTACTTCTTCAGGATCATCAACCAGCACTTCAAAACCACTTAAATCTTCTTATAATGCACCACGTATATCACTACTTTTGATTTTTAACGCTAAAACAATGATAAACGTAATAAAACACATCAGTCATCGGTCCGGGGGAACCTAGCTGTTTACAAATACACGCACGTCAGCTGTCTGTTACAATATTTTCGGAACTAAAATGAATAGCGCTTAGAGACAGACCTCTGGAGAAAGCTTAGAATATTACGGAAAGAACGATACCTAACTCGATCCAGTTCAATCCGATTCAGTCAGTCATAGAGCCTTCGCCGTAAACGATGTTTGTGCGTCTTAAAAGCGACGCGTGACCCTACACAAAGTGTGTTGTGCGTCGTTTTTATGACGCGTGACACTCGGAGGGTTAAAAGGATCTATAAGTAAAATCCTGACCATGAGAAATCTTACCTGGCTATGAGATATCTGACGAGATGTAGGTGTCCGCAGGTTGCTGCTGCGTGGAGAGGTGTCCATTTCTCACTGTCTTCTGCGTTGACGTTGGCTCCGTACTGCAGCAGTAACTTCATCATCTCCTCGTTGTCATCTATGCAGCACTACACAGCAAAACAACAAATATAACACTATTGAATTATAGTTACATCAGATAACTATATATTGACGAAATGCTACATTGGATCCATAACGTAAAAGAAATTTGTCTAGAATAAAATTTGTGCACAATTACTATTGAAGGAAACTATTTCACATCACCATATTGGAAGTTCAAAATATTTTGGGACATCACAAAAAGGACTATATCAAATAGATAATAATGTAATCAAAAATTTAACAACAAATTTAATGCTTACACTGAGATGTTCCAAAATTATCCTCATTGTTTACTTTTGAATTTGTATATAAGTTGTTTATAAACCATGTGTTATGTATCCAAACACCTAGGCCTACTATTAGCTATTAGCTAAATTAATACCTCTAAATTATCACATGTTTACATACAGTAAAAGGGCAAAAGGTTTCACCTATTGTAAATTTCCATATTTCACATTCTCATCAAACACTGTCTTTTATTATTTAATAAGCTGAAATTTGTAATCGCTGGAAGTTATTTATACAGTTTGAATTATTTTACAAAATTTTTCTTCTCTTTCACTTTCAAAAATATAATTAAAATACCAACCAATCATAAGTAACAGTGAATAGTGAGTGACATCAAGAAACCAGTGATAGCCAATTGTTACAACAGATGTATGAAATTTAACATCAAGATTTCAATTGCATAGTAAGTCATGAAGAAGCAAGAAAGGAATCTGATTTGAAAATTTTAATTGGTGATTTAACTTAACAGTATTTAAACCTTAAGATCTATCTCAATTACTTAATACCTATCATGTCTACATCAAGAAATATTTTGTGGTGAAGACTATTGTAAACTTTTGGGTGAGATCAAACTGCACTTGACTTAGGCCTACTTTCCTAAAATACTCACATTGCAAAATTTCTATTGACTTTTGCCGTTTTGAACTTTAACCTAAATTATCATTTTACTAAATTCAAAATTTGAACTTTCATCTTTTCAAAAGTGTATACCTAATTGAACTGTAACTTTTGATTAACATTAGGCTTATGCCTATCCAAAATCACATAAGCCTACTTTGAGCCGGCCCGATACTCCTAGAACCCTGAGATAAGAATTTAATCTAAATTTATAACCATATTTGTACAATTTGACAAATAAAAGGTTTATATGTTTTTATTATTGTAAACCCTGGACATTTATTTATTTACCAACACACATAGACTAATAAAGAACTTTACAACACTGACTTTTGGATACGGTAATACAAATCCTATCTGTTATGTACTTTTGTTAAATTTTTATTTTTCCCTTAGTTTTTGATACTGTGATAGTTGATGTTCCTTGCTACAGTTTACATTCAGTTAGGCTTTGTTAAAAAGTTGACCTACTCAACAGAAAGGAGTATTTTGTATCAGATCACTCTATCCGAAGCTTAACTCAACTGCCTAAAGCTTTAACATGAGACTGGTATTTCTACTTCTACTAATAGTCCCCCTAAGTACTCAATCAAGGCATATTTTGACAGCCTTTTACACTTGTATCACTACTCAACTTCGGCCATATCACTTAATAATAACATCTTTTAAGTCTTTTAATATCTTTTAGTATTGCGATGACATTTTGGGTTACCTGTCAACAACAACTAAAAGCATCTACCCCTGTCATAATGGGCTACTATTTCAACTTCAACACTGCACTAACAAATTACAAGTCTGTTGTATTGATAACACAATTTTAATATTGTTTTTGTGTATAAATATGTCACTGTCTATGTCGGAGATTTGATGCACATAGGCAATAAGAGCTAATCTATACTAAAGAAAAATTAATAAATTGTCGATAAGCATGAAATTTCAGTTTAGAATGAAGCCAACCAACCGATCTTTTCGTCACTCAAATGTTTTAACGTAAATTGATTTTTGCGTACATCAATAAAACTAATAAAAACTAATAAAATCAATAAATTATTGTGAAATCAATAAATTATTTATCTCCAATAGCAATAGATATTTCAGTGATGCAAACAATTAAAATTTATCTTCTCAACACTAAAGTGCAAAAATAAATCAACTTAATCAATAAACATGTTGCAAAAACCTGTCATTAAAATAATGCATTCAAATAAACATGAAAGCGATCTCAGTTAAATTGCCGGAAAGTAATATGAAACTGATAACCGAATCACCTGTAATTGGATTACATGTTTCAACGTTTTAGAGCGAAATGTCAAAAACAATAAAGAGTGATTGTTTGTTCAAGAGTGAAACAGTTTTAATTGTACAAATATTACCTGATGCAGAGCAGTCAGTCCATCCTCATTCGTTGAATCGGGACTGACTCCTTTTTCCAGTAGTCTTTCAACTACAACAGATAATTAAAATAAATAAATTTAATATAAATTAATTAATTTACTAAACTAATTACTAAATAAAAAAATCTAAATCTAAAGTCTATTTTGGCCATGTTATCTTAGCTGTTAAATAACAAGAAATAAAACAACAAAACATTTACATTAACAGACAGAAATAACCAGAAATGATTCTTTCATAAGGATAGTAAATAATTTTAAAAAATTGAAAAAAATCAATGCCAGGTTTTATAAATAAAGTTATTATAAGACCATTGAATTTGGATACCGTTCTGCAAGTAGGTTTCTTATCCCAATCTTTAATATGGGGGTGGTTTTGGTGAGTTTGTAGAATCAGCTAAAGCTTCCGTGAACTTTATTTAGACTACATCTTTCTTTCTTATTTTACGGCATGTTTTCTAGCATGCACTTTACTCTCTTGATAAAAATACCATAGGACAATCAATAGTTTACACATAGTTCTTTTTATGTGGTTATAATCTCTTAAATCAAAAATTTTCCAAATGAATGAAAAATCAATCATATTAAAATAAATCTACAGCTAAATAATGACAGTTATTTTCTTAGTGAAACATTAAAAAAAACTTGTCTCAAGATTTTACCTAAAATGTATTTAGGTAGCTCTGGCCAATAGCTACTGAGATCAAGCTAACTTCACAGCTTCAGAAACTTGGTTTGCTAACTTTCAAGATTTAATTCCCGAATTCTTTGGGTCCAATGATATTATTAAAACTTACTTTGGCATTATACAATTTTTGGTGTGGTTGCAAACTTATTCTAATTTCAAATGTAATTTTGCAAACTACTGTGTAGTATTACGTAAGGGAAATCGAGTACAGTATATGAGTGAACTGTATTGATAACATTTATTGGTAGGCACTAAAACGCAAACTTATGACATAACTGCCATGGATTTAAGGTATGTCATAATACCTACTGTTGTTGCCCAGTTAACCTGATTTTGTTTTATATCTTTCTCTTAGAATTTCCCTTATAATTTCTATCTCTTTTAAGTGTTCTATCTTTTTCTATCTTTTTAAGTATTATAAGACGTATCTTTATTTACTTTCCGTAATTTCTATCTCCTACATCCTGTTTATTTTGCCTATCACTTAATTTTTTACGATTTCTCTATTTGTTTCTCTTGCTTCCTAATAGTCTCTCCCTACCTCCTAATTTTTTCCACCTACCTCCTTATTTCTTCCACGTAGGCTACCTCATCTAGTCTTCCTTCTAACTCGACATTTCTTCGTCCCACCTCCTTCTGTCTTTGGCCTACCTCTTAATTTCTTACTCCTACTTTATCATATCTCCTGACTCTTCTAAATTTCTTCTTCCCTATTCACATTCCTTCCTCCTACCTCCTCATTCTTCCTCCTACCTTCTCATATCTTCCCTTTAACTCCTCATTTCCTACTCGTACCTACTTGTTTCTTCCTCCTAATTCCTAATTTCTTTCTCCCACCTTATTCCCTCATACCCACTACACTGCTACCAACCTTCTGTAATGTCGTTCCTGCTAGCCGCCTCCAGAAGCATTACACTGTCACTGAAGCGTATGCGTCTGTGGTTGGTTCGCTCACGCCGATGTCTCCCTCGCTCCCACTCTCGTTCCCGAGCCGCCCACAGCTTGAGCTGAGTGGTGCGCCGGCGCCGGGCCAATGCCAGCCGCTCCCCGGTGGTCATGTGCTCCACCTGGGTCATCTCTGACACCAGCTCGCAGTGCTCCATCCTGCTTCTCTGTAACATATATGCAATAAAATTATAGCAAAACCTCAATATTAACGTGCTATTTTGTTATAGTCTATACCAGTCAAAAAAATGTACGTTCATTTGGGAAAATAAATATTAAGTGATTGCCCAAAAAGGTGGTTAAACCTCCTGAAACATGTCTTTTCACGCATATAAATACATGGCTATCTCTCCAAGGGCCATGCTGTTGGATAATTAGGTTAAAGAGATTAATTCCAAGTGAAAGAAGATAAAGAAATAATAATATTCTGGTAAAAACCATTAAAATGTAGGTTGTTCCAGAATCAATAGTCCAAAGCTCCACGGAGAGATAGTTAATGTTGTAAATGAAGAGGTTCTCTCTTCATTTATCTTCAGCAGTCACATATTTTTAACTAACTTTGGTGATTATATGTGAAGAGATTTAATAAAAAATGAAAATACATTTGATTCTCAAAGAATTTCCAAAAGTTTTTTTTTAATATTTCTATCAGATAAACAATTTTGTTTTTTTTTTATTTAAATTGTTACGAGTAAAGCCTTGACTGCTTGTGCTAGTTGTCATATAAAACTAACTTATATTATTTAAATAACAAAAATTAAGCATGGAATATTTTTATGCATTACGATATATATATTCATTAAGTACTGATTCTGAATTTTCCTTTAAAACATACTAGAACCCTCAGAATAACCAACAAAGTCAATTAAAACATTGTATAAACCGTAACAAATAAACTTATTAATAAGCAACTACAAAATAAGGGATTGTTAAAACTAATACTTGCAGAAATTCTTAAAATATACCTTCCTCAACATTGAGAAGAACAACACTTGAACATTGCGCTGTGATATCACGTTATCTGATCTGACTTACGGATTATGGATGGGAGTTGTTCAATACAAAATCAATATAAGCACAGATAAATATTACAATGAAGCATTATAGTCCGATAACAGAACCAGAACTAATTGATTCCTTATTAAATACAACAAGAATGTTTAAAAATGTAGTAAATGTTTTTCTCACATTTTCTATAGCACAGTGGCAAAAGTGATGTTGGTCATTAGATAATAAATACCAGCTGATCAGCTGGTATAGCAATCCTCCCCCTTTAGTTTTCTTTATTTACAATATTCTAATTTGGTCTACATGGCTTTTCCATATACATCCGTCTTCGATCTAACCAGCTAGATAACATTTCCCAATTGTTTCTCAATTTTCCCAACCGTCCATGATCAAAACGATTAAGTGACACGTGGTTTCATTACTTAGGTTGGAATATTGTTTAGTGAAATTAATGTAGGTTAAAATTTCAAAAACTGTAATAGTGACATAGACATTTTCCAGAGAAAAAATAATGAAATTTTAAGAAGTTTTGAATTGTAAACAATTAGGTACTGAAATTGTTGATAACACAACAGTTGAGATACTTTTCAGGATAGTAAAAATTTGGACCTGATTGATCATTTACATAAGATTTGAGTAAGGAAAGGTTTGATATAACCATGTTACTTTTTACATGTTAAATACATATCTTAAATAAACGGTATCAGCATTCTGACACATACTTTCTCCCATAAGTTTGTCAACTACCTTTATCATGTGTAAGAGGTGAGAGTAAATATACGGAAATGGAATTTGTACAATTTTGTTCAGAATTTAAAGGACTATAACATACTAAATTTTTATCAAACTCGTTTAAACTCTTAAATTTTTATCAAAATTGTTCGGGCCATTTTTGGAAAAATCAGATTTTTCCGTTATTTTATGGGGTTTTTATGGGAAAATAACATAATTTAAAATAACTTTTAATTCGTAATTTTTACAGAAATGGGATTTGCACAATTTTTTTCAGAATATAAAGGACTATAACATACTAAATGTTTTATCAAAATCGTTCGGGCCGTTTTTGGGAAAATTCTATTTTTCCGTTATTTTATGGGAAAATCCCCATTAAAAATCCAAATTTCTAAAAAATTGAAAAAAACTATCAAAATTGTAAGGACCATAACATACTATGTTGAATAAAAACAGGATTTTTTTTTTTTAATCCTATTTTTCGTTATTTTATGGGGTTTTTATAGGAAAATAACATAATTTACCATAACTTTTGAACCGTAATTTTTAGAGAAATGGGGTTTTCACCAGTTTGTTCAAAATTTAAAGGGCTACAATATACTAAATTTATATCAAAATCGTTCGGGCCATTTTTGAGAAAATTCGATTTTTCCGGTTTTTTATGGGTTTTTATGGGAAAATCCCCATTAAAAATCAAAATTTCAAAAAAATTAAAAAAACGCCTGGAGATACCATGGATTAGAACCTACATACCAAATTTCATCGAAATCGGACCACAGGTGTAGTCTCTAGGTCTGTACACATCCAGACACACACATACACGCCATCCCTATACTTGTGTGGACATGGGTTTTTAACCAAACTATGTGGACATCAAGGCACACGGCTGAAAAAAATATCCTAGGTTCTTTCTAACCTCAAATTGAAGATGAATAAAAGAACACTCCTTGTTTATTGGTCTAAATGTAGTAAAAATAATCACAAAAATTGTGTGGACGTCCCCACAGTTAATGCAAGAGTCGGCCATGTCCCCACAGGTAATGCAAAAGCTAGTACACATGTCCACATAGATAATGCAAATGTTGACACAATCGAGTGTTTTTTCGCTTAATGGTGTTAATGTCCACACAGTTTGGGAATTTCACTGGTTGCATTTTGACAGTATATTTAGGTTATGTCTCCACTCTTCTTTATAAACAAATTGTTGTACAATTCACGGATCCTATTAGCGACTTATGTATATTAGTCACATCCGAATTGCTATGTAGCATATGAAATAACAATATTCATGTATTAATTCATAGTAAAAAATATTTAATAAGTAATAAATACAGTTTCTCGTCAGATTAAAATATCAGGCCAAAATACCAATGTCTTCATAAAGATATTGCTAGAGAACTATCGATATTTTTTTCAGTGATACAATCGATTTGGTTCCATATTACTAATATAATTTAATATTATATATTAATATTGTATAATTTGATATAAATATTTTATAGTATTCATTTCATATTAACATTTTACTACATTGATTTATTAATTAATATTAATTGAATATTTTATATATTAATAATATATAAATTAAATACTTTGCTGTATTTGGTTTTGACTTAATCTATGACACTAACTGACTTTGTCTCTGAACAGAAAGCCCTTTCAGATGAGGTACTCAAACTCAATTCAGTTTCAAATTTGACTATAGCTTGACTATGTTGAACTGTAGCTCTAGTTAGCGCCTATAATCGACGATAGTGTAAATGGATTAATGCAGGTAGGAAAAAGATGCTTCTGTACAGTAATCAGCGACCGATAGTACAAAGAAATATATCATATGAATCACGTCTCCCCCTTTATATACGATACATTACCTGTACTTGTAGTCAGTTAGCGTCCATAATCAACGGCAGTACAAAAGGTTTTATGAGAAGAAATAAAGCATATTCCTGTATTAAAATGACTGGCGGACGTAAGGAAAATGTACTATATATTTTAATTAATGACATTACTGACGGTACGGCACTTAAATTGCAACCTACAAGTCAACCCAACACTTCGGTCATCTAGATGGTGGCGTTTTGTTGGGGTAGCATCTTGACGACAACCCCTTACTATTAGAGGACAGTTAAACATTTTGTCTTCTCAGTTTTTTAATACAATTGTAATTCACTTTATTATTGAATTCTTTCTATTTTTTTCAAATGAATTATGTCCGTACGAATGAATTTTAGGGAAACGGAATCTATCGGGAAAATGCAGCCGTTCGGTTCTAAAGAAACTGTTAGGATGATGTAGATGTCGAAACGCTTTGTCAACCAGGGCTGTCCCTAGGGTTGTCAGCGCCCAGGGAAAATGTAGTCGCGGTGCCAGCTACCCCCCCCCCCCCCAGTACTAGTCGCATTTGCATATGTTAGCTTCATACTACATTACGTTTACATTTTGATTACACCTATAGTGTTACAAAATAATTCGTAACTACAGCCTCATTTTTCAGATTCGTATTTATTAACGCCATAATCTGATAACCTTTACAATTCATGCAAACCTACAAGACCACAAACAAAATTTGCTGCGGCGCCCGGGTCAACTTGCCCCGATTGCCCCCCCCCCTTCGGATGGCCCTGTGTCAAGCTGTGGTTCATAATTGTTGATTAAGCTCTTTTTTATGTCACAGGTGAGACAACAACGTTAGATAAACATTAAACCTTATAAATGTTAATTTAACAAGATTCATTGCCCATAAGGATTCAATTTTCATGAAATTTATTATATTTCTATTCTAGAATGGCTTATTTCACCTTCCTGATATTTATGTCGTGATATTATGTCGTGGCCCCTAGATCACCAGATTTTAGCGTGTGTAAATTTCTTTTGTGAGGCGTTCTCAAACTTAGCATCTACACTCACAAACCCCGTACTTAAGGACGCAATTAACCAGAAAGTAAAGACAATTACTGATGGCCATTTAATTAATGATGTGACTTGTAATGGAAGAATGTAATAAGACAGGGATAAAAACTGTACTGACTAATTTTGTCACAACTGAAATCTAACTTAGTGCATTTAATCAATCATCTTAGTACGACCAGACAAAGACCGAAAACTCGTTCAGTCTCGGGGGTTCGTGCACACTATCCTGTTGCGTTGTGCGGTTGTTTAGAATCTACTATAAATGTTTGATGTTGATAAGTTTATCGAAAATGTTCACGGCCAGCTATCACTGTGGGACAAACAGGCATAGTAATATTCTGATAGCATAGAATAGCATTCCTAAAATGCGTGTTTATTTTTGTTATTCGAGGCCTCGTGATCTGAAGAAGCTCATCAAATGACTGGACTGACATAAAAAAAAAACGTTGTCTCATGTCTCCTGATGTTTTGTAAAACGTACGAAAACGATCACCTGCATCACGTTCACGACAAAAAG